ACTAAGAAGCAAAGAGATAAGTAGATTAAAAAATTGGATAGAGAAGATAAGAGATAAAGATGATATAAAAAGGTATTAGGAGGAGAGGGGATTTCATGGTTAAATTTAATCCAATTAGAAAGGTACATTAAAGAAGGGAAATGTAGAAAAATGACAACATTTGAAGAGATTATAGAAAAAAGATTGAAACTAGAGGAAAAGACATAGAGAAAAGGAACTGTAAGCCAAATATATAAATAATTAACGCAAGTTGAACAGGGTATACAAGGATTTAAAATACAATGACAAAATGATTTGGATAAAGAAGTAATAGGGGAAGAATGGGATAAAATATGGGATCAGAGAATTATGAAGAACACATCAGTAAGGATAAAAGAAAATTGTTCTAAAGTAATATGGAGGTGGTATTTAATGCCGGTTAAAATGGACAAAAGAGTGGAGGTGTAAAAAAGAGAAGGGGGTGTATTTACATATGTGGTGGTTTTACATATGTGGTAAAGGTAAAGGTAAAGGTTCCCCTTGACAATTTTTGTCCAGTCGTGTCCGACTCTAGGGGGCGGCGCTCATCCCACTCTTCAAGCCATAGAGCCAGCGTTTTGTCCGAAGACAATCTTTCCGTGGTCACATGGCCAGTGCGACTTATACATATGTGGTGGTTATGTGAAATAAGAATGGAATTTAATTTTTAAAGAAATATCTGAAATAATTGGATTGAATATTCAAATGTCTCCGTTAATGGCTTTATTGAATGTGATTAAGGAAGATCAATTGTCGAAAGAAAATAAGGATTTAATAGTAATAATGATTACGGCTGCAAGGTTAACCTTTGCAAGAAACTGGAGAAATGATAATCAATTAAACTTGGAGGAATGGTATAGAGAATTATGGGACATGGCAATTAATGATAAACTGACATGTGATATGAAAATAAGAAGAGGCCAACTGAAAAATAATGATTTTATGGAAATATGGAATGTATTTTTGGAACATGTATTTTGGAGAGGGAAGGAACAATGAAATTTTGGAGTGAAAACAGATTGAATGAAGTGTAATGCTAGTCCTGAGGGTGGTGGGAGCACATGTGTAATTGTTGTGTATTGTTTTGTATTTTTAATAGTTTTTTGTGTAGTCGTAGGTTTATTTTGTATTAATAATAAAATTAAAAATTAAAAAAAAAGATTGCTAGCCTGGTCTCTGTGAGGAGGAAAGTAAGGAAACAACAAGTAGTGAGCCGTCCCCTCAGATAGTTTTCGTGGAGTCAGAGATATCAGTGAAGCCCGAAATAAAAGAACAAGCAGAGGAGATAGAGGAAGGTCGCGCGGGCAGAGTAGAGAAAGCTCGAGAGGAGGAAAGGCGCGCGGGTGAGGATGACAGGCGCGTGAGAGAAAGTCAGTTGAAACGGTTGAGAGAGGAAAGGGAAGGTGCGAGAAGCAAGGTGTGCCGTGAAAGGGAGCAGATAGATGTTTTCCTAACTACCGAAGAGGGAGAGATCTCTAAAGAGACGGAGAAGGTGTCTGTATTTAAAGAAAGAGAGTCGGGAAAGACCATTGAAGATGTTCAAGCCTTCTCAGTCCCAGTGAAGAGATCTGCTCAAGCCCTGTTTGAAGGTGGAAGTGAGGAGGGAAAGACCAGTGCGACAAGACCGATCATTCCTGGGCTGAGCCCCGAAGAATGGACCGTATTGGTCTTCCCGAAGAAGCGTGGTCCTGCTCGAATAGTGCATCACATTCCCCCAGAAGTGGAGAAGGAAAT